CCCAAAACCCCAAAACCCCAAAACCCCAAAACCCCGAAAATCTCCAAGGATATTGAGATTAACAGAAGATTTATACAAAATATAGTTTAGACCTCGGAAGCCTTGCACCCCTGGATCTTGCTCTTTGGCTTGTATTTCTTTATCTTAACAGGACTCTTCCCTCCAAAGTAGGCCTGGTGAGCCTTCTCTAGTTTCGGGTGAGTTACTAAAGTTTCGATTATGCGAGTATTTGGCTTGGCCACAAGTCAGTTGTCAGACCGGTTTCGACCGCTTGGCCCAGGCTTTGACATCAGGGATGAACACAATTTGGCAGGGCTAGAAGTCAGATATTTGAAGCTTACTCAAGTTCAATAGGATCTTCTGAAGTTTGCTGATATTTCTTTTTCATGCTTCTTTGGGTTTCATTCATTGGCGATATGAGAGAGTATTCATTTGATTTTTCTAAACATCGAAACAATTTAAATGGTAAAGTTTTGCAAACAAAAAGTAGATTATCATGATCAGTGGAAACCCAAGATACTATGAAAATGCATAATGAGTACCATGCTTAATGGAATGATCCTCCTTAGTTTCTTCTTTGATGCTTGTCCAAGGCTCATTGGTTTTGACTCATTTGTTGTCTTTGTGATATTTTGTATTAGATTTCTCAGATGAAAGTGCTGCATCTGTGTTTAAAGGTCTTGTTTTATCAGACAAACATTGCAGAGATTCGACTTTATTTATCTCTATAAATCTTTTCGAAGAGTTTAAAGCTTCTTTATCAGCTGACTCAAAATTAAGCAAGTCCTCATGTGTGTCCATGTTGTCTAAACATAATTTGAGCTATATTAGATTACGAACTGGTCTTTCTAGCTTATCTTCTTGCTGATTTTTATGCTCTAAAGCAAATTATTAGAAATTAATGAAAGATCCAGTTCTGAATAACAGTAAGATTGCACAGAACTAATTATAATTTTATTTTAAAAGTTCGAATGCGGTACTAACAATAGTCTGATAAGATTTTAAATTAAAATAGGTTCCTTTTGGAAAACACTTTTGCCAAGTTGTGAACTAATTAGTTAGTTTCACAGATATAACTCTCATAAAAGCCAAACAAAGTCTACAGCTTGCCCAGCAATAATATAATGTCATTACCTTCTTGCTGTTTGTGCTCGCCTGAGATTTGATTTCTCTCTTCTTGCTCGACCTCTTGCTCCTCTGAAGATTGACCCTCCTAGAATTCAAATTAAGCTAGCAAGCCAAGTGCTTACGCTGATCTGGGCAGTCCTGTCCAGTTGTGGAGCTTCTTTCTTCGTACATTGCTTGGCTTTGGAGTAAGCCTCTCTCAAGGACTTGGTCTAGGAATCACATAGTCAATTACCAGTAGCAGGATGATGACAATGAAGGTGTTTGTGGTGATCAGTGTAACTGCAATATTCTTGGTTGCATGCGAGTCAGCTGTTTGGATAATTTTGAAACTTACTTGTGATCCCCCAATCTTTAGCTGTCTTTTGTTTCATGAAGAATATTAGTATAACGATGAGAAACACCTCATTAACTTGCTGGATTGCAAAGTCAAATGTGAACTTAGTAAGCATAGGGAATAGTACTGTTGCAGCCCAATAAAATATCTGGAATACAAGCATTACTCGGTAAACTTGGATGCTTGAAATTTCTATAGCCATAATTGATCCTGCAAATACAAGCTTTCTCAACAGAAGTAAAGGTTGATGCACTCTGGCTAGTTTGTGAGCTCGGAAGCCTGAATATAATTCACCAAACAATCTTTGTGAGTTGGGGTCAGAATCTTCCTCTGATTGATTATAGAGTTTTTCATATTGAGGCTCGTCTCTAAAATGATACCAACAATATCCTCATGTGAACACAAAGAATAATCCAAGCATTGTTAGAACGAAATAAGCAAACACACGAGAGAATTCATAATTTGGTGCTGAAGTATCACTCACTTGAATCTCGTTCAAACTTGTCACAAATAAATCAAGGAATGCTTCTAGAATCATTCTGGTATAGATTGATATGAAAAATTTCCAATGAAATCCCTGATCAGGCCTTCAGAGCTTCTGGATAAAAGAGAGTGCGAGCTTAAAATATTTTATACAGAATCAATCTGGCCTGGCTTCATTCGAAGCAGATTCATCGGCTCTCTGATCTTGATCTTGAATTTCAATATTGCTCATGGCTGCAATGATATGCCTCATGGTATTAGCCATCTGGATGAACAGAATAACCAGAAAGACAAACCAGAAGAACGCCTGCAATCAGAATACCAGCCAAAACAACAGCAAGAGGTTTCTGTTTATGTAAAGAGTGCTTGTGGAGTCATGTCCTAGCCATCGAATGGGCGAGTCTGGGTCTTCCGAATTGGTGCTGTCAATAAACCCTTGTATCAGAAAGAAATTTGTGAATATGTTGCCGATGAACTGGAAGTCCAGCATCAAGAAGTTGGTTGTTGCGATGTAACTCCTCACATTAGGATGGATGCTTGTCTTCAGAAGTAACAATAAGAGTAGCAGTTGCTGTTGGTTTATTAATGAGAATACGCCAGAAGGAGATGACTGGTCTGAAAGAGAAGTAAAGAATGCTAAAACAATAGCAGATGCAATTAACACTGTAGTCAATGTTGCTGCTAATTTCTGAGCTTCAGTCCCAGAAGTTTCTTTAATGAACTCTGTGATATTATATGTGGTAACACTAGGTTGACCATTGGCATAGTTCGGTGTCGCAGCTAAATTCATAATTTATTTCGCTTCATCAGAGATTTAATTTATTATCTTAGTATAAATGATATTTAAGATGTTTGTACGGCTAATCTTAAAACTTGGCCATCTTATACTGGAACAATGACTTGCCGGCTTTATTATTACCATCTAAGATATATATTTGCTCCAACTTACAAAGGATAAGTCATTATCCTCACATCAAAATTTGCCAAAATCTCGGTCAAAAATTTAATCTATTAAGATTAAGATATACTGCCGGGAGTGTCTTGTTTATTATCTCAAAATATAAGTTTGTAAAGAAAACTATTTATAGCTTTAAACTCATATTAATTTTTTTGTCTTGATCACATATCAATTACCCTCAAAAAACTCCATTAGCAATTTTTTAATATTTATTTTGGCAAAAATAGTCAATTAATATCTTGCTAAAAAAATTAAATAACTGAAGCCTCTCCCTGCTTAAAACCAGGATAGTTTTAGATACTTACGATAGATTGTTGACTCTAGGGATAAACTTATTCAAATATATATTAACTATGACTCTTTGTTTCGATAAAATATAATGGCTACCAATGTAGCAGTCAAACTAAAACTTGTATTAAGACTAAAACAAACTCTGATCAATGCAAAGCATATTAATTAGGGTTTTATGGATTCATAAACTCCAGCTAAAATGAGATGTTTCTTTAAATAGTCTTCAAGCACAGGTGAATCTTAAGATTATTGCAATGAGTATTTACTAAAATTAATGGTATAAATAGTCATGATTTTATTAGCTAAAGAAGTTTTACTTCAGATCCAACTTACTTATTTTTCATGTGTAATTCTTGGGATCAGGCAATAAATTTGTGCTATTCACAGTGATCTCTCCTGTTGTGCTATTTATGGTTGCTATTCCAAGTTAATTGTCTTGAATTCAAAAACTTACCAATGGACGATGGACTTCCTTCTTGGGTTTCATTTCATTCAATAGTAAAGCTGACCTTTACTAGTCCCAGATCTCCTCAAAATGATTGGCAAGGTATGGTTTTGTTCTTTCCTTGCTCAATGATGGTTGAATTTTCCTTTAAATAATTAGGAATTGAATAGCTTCACCTGGAAGCAGAAGAGGTTGAACCATTAGTTCAATTCCAATTATCCTCAACCTCACAAGTGGGACTACATCCGTCATGTTCATTATTATTTCCATCATCTCAGTAGTTGGTGAAAGGTTCATTCATTACTATGCCATCCCCTCAAATATCTTTTCACGAGCTTGCTGTATCTGCATTGCCAAGTGTTCATGTCCATCCCGATTCAACTCCTCACTCTGAACTTCACCCATCCTCATCAATATCATTGTGATCATCACAATAGCCATCTTTGGGTGCAACAACTTTTCCATCACCTCAAATATCTTCACAAGTGTCAGGGTTGAATTCATCAGGGTCCAATTTGTCACTTCCTTGACATCTCCATCCTGACTCGATTTTTCACAATGAACTTCAGCCATCACCATCAATCACATTCCAGTCATCTCAATTTTGTTCTGAAATCTCTTCTCCAGCCTTGAACCCGTCTCCACAGATCGGCCTGCATTGATCTGTGGTTCCAGGTACTTGCTCATACTTTTCAAGGCATGCAACCAAGACTTGAACAACAGGTCCATAATCTTGGAAGTCTCCAAAGTATTTGGGATGGATTAGCTCCATACCTGCTCCCAAGTCCCAGTAGAAATGTAACTGCCCAAGAGTATCAAGATCTATCCAGTTGATTTCAATGGAGTAATGCGAGAATGCGTTAAATTCATACTCAGATTCATAATTTCCTTTTATATGTGCACCATATAGAGCAATTTTAGCTTCTCCATTAATCCACCTACAAAAAGAGTTACAGTAACTACCAAAATCAAAGCCAAGTCTACCCCAAGAACGAATTCAGACCTCGTAGTGGCCAAGAAGAGATTTTTAGACTGGAAGTGGCAGAAATGGAACCATGGTTGGGATTTAAGTGGTTAGAGATTGTGTACCTTCTCCCCCTCCCCCACCTCTTTCCTTCCAATCTCCCTTTACCCCACTCCACTCCAAAAATCCCCCTAACAAAAACCCCACTATTCCAAAACCTAACTTACATGTCCACTCCGTTATCATAGAACAACTTTATAGGAGTCAAGCCTGAATGCATCGGAGTTAGAGTAGCTGTCACCTTGGCTGGGCACGGCCGAGTTCACCCAGGGTATACTTCTTCATGGGTTATCAGATTTATCTGCCTAAACAAAGTTAAAACTCTTGAGAATATATTAGCTTTATAAGTTGAATTTCCTTTGAAGTAAAGCTTTCTTGAGTATACCATGCTTTGAAACAAGGAAAACTAAGTAAATATAGAAGAGTACATATTACCAAAATTAGAAAAGAAGTTTTCCCTCTCTAACAGCTTTGAGTCCCTAATGATTCAAGAAAGATACAGAGAATACTCAATGTCATTATAAAAGTATTTTAGTGCAGATTAATGTATGATACACAGTAAAACTATCTATTCAAATTACTTTTTCTATTTGTAAAGGCAAAACTTAAAAATAAACATCACAAAGTTGTGGTAAAATGAGGAAAATGATGGCTCTAAATATTACTGCAAGAAGTATACATTTAAAAAATATTGGATCACTGCAAAAGCTTATCACAAGAAGAAAACTCATGTTACCAAAGGATTCGTTTAGAATAAAACTACTCTGCTTTGCCGAATGGAGCAATGATATCGAACGTATAGATCTTACTCTAGATGCCCCGTAAAATCAGGCTCGGCTTTAATATGACTTCCTGAAGAGTATTCAATAGAAACTCCTTTATTTCAGATAAAGTTCAGTCCGCATAGTGGCATTTCCTAGCTTTGTAAAGGTAACTGTAGTGGAGAAGGTACTGCTTCCATCAGTAGTCATCAAGTTACGGGAAAACGTTTTGTTTGCTGCACTCTGAGTGAAATACACAGGACTACAAGTCCTCTCCTCCGTCACCTCACAAGGATCCTCAATGATCAAATACATCCTAGTATACTCCGACAACCACGAAGCATCAAAATCCACTACCAAATCCACTGTGTACAAGTACTCTTGCCCCATCTCAATTACCGGTGAAGTAGGCCACTCAACAGGCTGTGCGTGACAAGGCCGAAGTATTAATAGCAGAAGTAATAGAGCTAGGGCAAGGCTGGGCAAGTGCAAGTGCAAGTGGGTGGGTTTAAAAATTGAGGGGTTTAGAGGCTGCAGTGGCTATTTGGGGTGGGAAGAGGGTGGAATGGAGAGTGAGGGGGGTTTTGGAAAGGGGAGGGTGTGTAGGAGGGTGGGGGTGGGGTAGGTCTAGAAGTATTAGTGAGATGGAGGGGTTGGAATGCGGGAAATGAGTTTTAGGGGTAATTGAATAACTTATGGAAAGGATGGTAGAGCATATTTATTTTACTTTTGATTTTTTTTGATTTTGTTAGTTGGTTTGTTAGATAGCCAGGTTTTGATCAAGAAAATTTTTGCTTGTTTGCTTAATAGATTCACAAATAAACCAGAGAAAGCACTCTGAAATTTTTCCTTATAAATTTCAAGCTTCCCATCTTTTTTTTTTACAAACTAATCTTGCTCTAAATCACAAAGCATCAATATTTGAGCGTATCTAACTAATATTACCTGGTTTCTGAATATCTTTCATCTTTTAATAATATTTATAACTCAATAATTCAGCAGCTTTATGGGGTTTTGGGGTTTTGGGGTTTTGGGG